AGTATGACAGATGAGGTGGTTCGGTCGATTTGGCATGTTGATGAATTGGAATATATGTACGTTGATGCGGAAGGTTCGGCCGGTGGGCTGCTCTGCTTGTGGAAGCCCTCAGTGTTCTCATTAGCTCAGTGCTGTGGTTCAAGAAGGTTTCTCCTACTGTCAGGTACATTGCTTCCAGATTTTAGGTGTGTATTGGTTAATGTTTATGCGCCTAATGATGTAGTCAGTAGGAGGCAAGTGTGGAATGTCATTACTAGTCTCAATCTAGGATTTCCAGATCCTTGGTGTGTAGGAGGGGATTTTAATGAAATTAGAGATGTAGGGGACAGAAGAGGGTGTTTAAGAAGGGATAAAGGGATGGTAGAGTTTAACGAATTTATTGAAGGGTTAGCCTTGTATGATGTCCCAATGCATGGCAGGCAATTTTCTTGGAGTAATTCAGAAGATGGGGGTAAGTGGAGTAGAATTGACAGAGTTCTTCTAGCGCCTGAGTGGTTGAGTAGGTTTAATTTTAAGCTGTGGGGCCTTCCAAGGGGTGTGTCTGACCATTGTCCATTGGTATTGATGGAGGATGAGAGGGACTGGGGGCCAAAGCCATTTAGGTTCTTAAATGCTTGGTTGTTACATCCTAACTTTTTAGATGTGGTCAAGCAAACTTGGGAGACTTCAAATGTCTATGGGTGGGCAGGATTTGTCATCGCTTCAAAACTTAGATATCTCAAGTTGGAATTGAAAAAGTGGAATGATGAAGTGTTTGGTATTATTTCCCACTCCCTCAAAAAAGCAGAGGTGGAGCTTCATGAGCTTGATCTGGTGGCCGAGGCTAGAGACTTGTCAGAGACTGAGAGTGCCAGACGAAGGGAAGTCAAAAAGGAGGTGTGGTCTCTTAGGAAGAGGGATGAGTGGCTTTGGCTTCAGAAATCAAGACTAGACTGGAGCTTGAAGGGGGATAAGAATACAAGGTATTTCCATATCATTGCTTCCTCTAGACAGAATCGAAATTTGCTGAACTCAATTACAGTGGAAGGGGTACTCTTCGAGGATCCCATTTTGGTGAAGCAGGAGGTATTAAAGCATTTTAAAGGCTTGTTCTCTGAAAATTGGAGAAATAGGCCAAAGTTGATGGGTCAATTTAAATCTATTGGTCAGGATCCAGTGGCTGGAACCCTGGAAGCAGATTTTACTGAAGATGAGGTGTGGAGTGCTATTAGGAGTTGTGATGGGAATAAGTCTCCCGGTCCTGATGGGTTTAATCTGTTGTTCTTTCAGAAGTGCTGGGTTTATGTGAAGTCTGATGTCCTTCTTTTTTTCAAAGAATTCTATGAGAATGGGAAATTGGGGACTGGTGTGAATAATTCTTTCATCACTCTGATCCCAAAAATTGAATGCCCTTCTAGTTTATCAGATTTTAGGCCGATTAGTCTCATTGGGTCTCTGTACAAGATTGTAGCTAAGGTTTTGTCTAATAGAATCAAGAAGGTGATGCCTAGGGTGGTGGGAGAGGTTCAATCAGCGTTTTTGGGAGGTAGAAACATTTTTGATGGTGTACTCATTGCGAATGAGATTGTTGATTGGTGGAAGGGGAGTCGGAGAAAAGGGTTGATTCTCAAGCTGGATTTTCAGAAGGCATATGACTCTGTCAGTTGGGAGTGTCTCGTATCTTTGATGGAAAATTTTGGGTTCGGGGCTAGGTGGAGAGGGTGGATCAAAGAGTGTGTAACATCGGCCAGAGTGTCTGTGTTAGTGAATGGCTCCCCTACGGCTGAGTTCTTTCCTGAAAAAGGCCTTAGGCAAGGTGATCCGTTGTCTCCATTCCTTTTCAATTTGGTAGCTGAAGGGCTGAATATGTTAATGGATCGAGCCAGATCTCTGGGGCTGGTCAAGGGAGCTGTAGTGGGCAAAGATAAAGTGGTGGTTTCACATCTCCAATTTGCTGATGATACAATAATTTTTTGTGAAGCCAATATGGAGGAGGTCATGGTTATTAAACGAATTCTGAGGTGTTTTGAACTGGTTTCAGGGTTGAAGATTAACTTTCATAAGAGTTCCCTCTGTGGAATTGGAGTGTCAGATGAAGAGGTGAAGGAGTTTGCCTTTAGACTCCATTGTGCAAGCCAGAAGCTTCCGATGACGTATCTTGGTCTGCCTTTGGGGGCTAATCCCAGGTTAAGAAAAACATGGAATCCAGTCATAGAAAAGTGCAGAGTTAGACTAGCTTCTTGGAAAAGACGCTTCCTATCTTTTGGTGGGAGGTTGGTCCTTATAAAATCTGTGTTATCTAGTCTGCCTATCTATTATTTATCCATTTTCAAGATTCCTGTATCTGTGGCTAAGGGTATAGAAAGGATTCAAGCAAATTTTCTCTGGGGAGGGTCTGATCTGAAGAGAAAAGTTCATCTGGTCAGTTGGGTGGAAGCAACCAAAAGCAAAGAGAATGGGGGTTTGGGTATTAGAAGAGTCAAGATGGTTAACGAGTGCTTGTTGACTAAATGGTGGTGGAGGTTTGGGGCTGAATCAAATACTGTGTGGAAAAGAGTTTTGTGTAGTAGGTACGGGTCAGTGGGTGGTAATTGGTTGCCTAATACTACATTCTCTGGCTCCTATTCAAAAATCTGGAATGGTATTATTAGTGTAGGTCAATCTAACCCTCAGCTTTTGAGTGCTTTTCTGGACAATTGTCGGGTGGTGGTGGGAAATGGGTTTAGAATTCAGTTTTGGACTGATTACTGGCTGGGGGCTTGCTGTGTCAAGAATGAGTTTCCTAGGATGTATAGTCTTTCAACTGAAAAGGAGGTGTCTCTGAGAGTGGTGCTACAGAGGCAGGAAGCTTCACCTAGGGGGACTTTCAAGTTTAGAAGAAGGTTATTGGGTTGGGAGAATGATGAGCTTAGAAGATTGAGTACCTTTGTGGACCAGAATATGGTTGGCCTCTCGGATAGGGAGGATCGTCTTGGATGGTTGGCATCTCCATCTGCTGAGTTTTCGGTCTCCTCTCTGTATTCTTTGGCTGAGCCGTCTTCTAGACTACTGGTAACAAAGTTCATCTGGAATAATTTTTCTCCTCCAAAGGTTCAATTTTTAGTTTGGCTAGCATGGAAGGGGAGACTTAAAACAGCTAGTTTTCTACAGAGGATTGGTGTGTTGGAGCCGGAAGCCTCTGCTATGTGTGTGTTTTGTAATGAAGGGTTAGAATCTGTATCTCATCTTCTTCTATGGTGCCCATTTGCTTGGAGAATTTGGTGTGATCTGATGCAGTGGTGGGGATTGACTTGGGTAATTCCACAAACTGTGGAAGGGATTCTTAATTGGTGGAGGGGCTTCAAGTGGAGAAAAAACCTCAACAAGATCTGGCGAATTATACCATTTGCGGTTTTGTGGTCGTTATGGAAATTCAGGAATGAGAAACTATTCTGTGATAGCCAAATGCACTTGGAGGAGCTGTGTGAGTTAATCAAGACGAGGATTGCTTTGTGGGCTAAATTGTACACTCAGGATTGCTGTTACTCAGTG